GGTGGATTCGAACCGTGTTCCTCTGGGATTGCAGTACAGTTTCTTGCCACTAGGCCACCAGAGCTCCCCAGATTCATCGATTGATTCGGTGACTGGGGCAATCAGGATGAGTGTGTCAGAGGCAATGAGATTGGCACAGGACAGAGCAGAGTTTAGAGCTGTTGTACACAGGGTCGCTATGAGTCACAAGCGACTCGATGGCACATAACAACAACAAGAACAACTCTAGTTAGTGATCTGCCCTCCTTTTTCCTCCTCCCCTTGTCCTGCTGCCAGAGAGCCTGTCCTAATTCAAAGCGGCCCTTGGTCTCCAAGACTATACATGTTTCTAGGAAGAGGCAGGCTATGGAATGCCTGATGGCTCTAGACCAATGACGTTACACACAAATGTTCACACTTTACTCGACAGCTCCTCACAACCACCACCACAGTCCTTCTAAATCTTGGGGAGCTCTGCAGGCTTAGTGTTGAGGAGTTATATTGCCAACACAATGGCATATGGTTCGAATCCACCAGCTGCTCCACACAAGAAAGGAGAGGCAATCTCCTCCTTTGTGATTGAACACCTCTAAAAACCCGCTGGAGGGTCAGCTATGGGCCAGTTCCGACTCAACAGTACACAACGATAACAACAGTTTTCCTACTTTGTCTCCTGTTGCTTGTGCATTTTTAGTTATGTCTACTTGTATAGCTGAGTCTCCAGTGGGTTTTCAGATGCAGATTCCTACAAGGGAGTAGACTGCCCAGAACCACAAGCCTTTGGGGTTGCAGTGCTGCTGGTGTAGTTGTGCCACCTATCAGGACTCTAAAGTGTGTCTCTATTTCTTCTCTGATGACATTTCTAGTTTGGTTTTTAGGTTTAGGTCTGTATCTATCTTAAGGCTTTTTTATATGGTGACAAATAATGGATTCTCTAACAATTTCCTATAAATAGATACCCAGTTTTACAAGCACTGTTTGTTAAAGAGACTGTCTCTCCCTCATTTAATGGCTTGCTTGTATGTACCCACAGATCACTTAAAGATATTCTTGAGCTTTTCCCCTTCTTTTAACCATTCATACTCTTTCCAGTAACCTATTTGGAACTGAGTTTAAAGTATAGATAAGAATTGAAATATCCTTTTCCACCGGGAGCGATGCATTTGTCCCAGCAATCTGTAAGAGACGAGGCTTTCTCTGGATGTACGCTGTGGCCAGGTGCCACCGGGTCAGCCCTGACTCACAGGGATCCGACATACAGCACAACAGACAATACCCCGTCCTGTGCCATCCACACAATCACTGCTCTGTGCGAGCCCCGTCATGGTCACTGCATCAATCCCTCTCATTGAGAGCGATCCTCTTTTCCACTGACCTTCCACTATACAAAGCACGATGACCTTCTCCAGGGGCCGGACTTTCCAGATAACACGTCCACAGTACGAGAATGGGCTCACTCACCAGCCTCATGTCTAAGACACACTTTGGTGTTACTTCCTCCAAAAGATCTGGTTTCTCTCTGGCCATCCAAGGCCCATTTCATAGTCTTTGTCAACACAACAATGCACACACATAAATTCTTTGGTTTTTCTTATTCCTCATACAGCTCTGCAATGCTTATGGTGGAGTCAGGTGCACCTTACTCCTGAAAGTGACATTTAACAAGGAAACCCTTGTTAGGGATTAATGTTAAGATACCCTTGTTAGGAGCCCAGGGCTGTTTCTCTGTATGTTTGCTGGCCCTGGATTGATATGTTTTATTCTGTAGTTCTTCTCTCCTTCCATCGTATTTGTTCTGTGTTCTGAACTGTAAAAAATGCACGAGCAGTGTGGGGACAGCCGAGTGTGACCTCTACCAAGTCCACAATGGGGAAACT